CACCCCCCGCCGGGGGGCCCCCCGCGCGAGGGCGGCGGGGCCCCCCGCACCCCCTCCCCGCCGCCCCCCCTGCCGTTCGTGCGTCCCGCCCCCCCCCCCCCCCCCCCCCCCCCCCCACTCATGTCTCAGATGTTGAGGGGACGCGCTGGAAAGAAAAATATCAACACACTTGTCTGGATTTAATCTGGTGAGCGTTATTGCTTGAATCTCAAAGCAGCCTCGGATTCTCGACTTGGTAATCAGGCAGAAAGATTGCGTGAGGAAGACTGTGTCAGAAGCCTGTCTGTTTCGAACTCGTGCGCTCTGAAGAGCAGACTTCTGGTCTTGCGCGTTGGGCTTGTCTGGGGTTTGTCTGACACATCAGACTTGTGTCGCCTCCCATTTCAGCAAAACCGAAAACATTCACTCGGGCTACTTCAGGAAGACGAGGGCAAGGGGAGGAACAGAAAATTGGTGCACTATGAAGGCTTAGCCTCAGTCTCGTCTTTCAGGCGAGTAATTAAAGCTTTGCTCTAGTAATTAAACTTTGCTTGGTTTTATTTCCAGAAAGCAAATGTAAGCCACTCGATCATTAACATCCCTGCTCAAAGCGGCTTGATGTAATTTAATCGAGCAGAGGTTCCATGTTTGAGCTGCACGGCACCCTTCCACCTCAAGCGCAAGGGGTGGGGTTGAGAGTTATGGGTGGGTAAGGTGGGCAGTTGGTGGTCACCCCCAGGTTTAAACAGTGCAGCACATTCTCCCCCCTGGGCAAACAGTTGGTGGGAATTCCACGTTAAACAGAACGTGCGCTTTGCTCAAGCTGCTGACCTCTCCCCAAGCCCCCCCCCTTCCCCACTAAAACCCGTGAAAAGCTGGAGAGGAATTGCCCTTCCCTTGTAAGAGACCAGTTGCTGGGCAGTTCCACCTGGAGCTCTTAAAGCGTCCAGCTGCGTTTGTTTCTGCCCTCCGTATGAAAAGAAGCAGGAATACTGAAGAGTGCAACGCTGTGACTGAGACCAGCAGGGGCTGGGAGCAGGGAGACATTGAGACAGGTAGCTGGGAGAATCGATTCCCTTGGGGGAACAGATTGAAGATGCTGTCCTTTAGAAATGGCATTTCAGTGGCAGTAATCCTTGGAAGATGTTAATCTCAGGACGAGAGTCATATCTCGGCTGTCTCTGTCCCTCTGGTCGTAGTGAGCCTTGTGTAACGGGTGAGCTTGCAGAAGGAGCAGTCACTATGTTCAACTGGGCAGCACAACCTGGGACCCGTTTCTATTTAAAGCCGACACCTGAACGGGGTGGGGGAAGGAGGCCGTTTTTGATTGAGCCCTGAGCTTTGGGGAAACCGGCTGATAGCTTGCCCACCCTCGTGAAGGGTGTCAAAAACAGAAGTTGCTGGAAAAGCTCAGCAGGTCTGGCAGCATCTGTAAAGGAGAAAACAAGAGTTTACGTTTTGGGTCCGGTGACCCTTCCTCGGAACCTCGTAAAGGGTGTGCCTGCGCTGTTTAGTGAGATGTGAAGCTTGGCCAGTGTCTGCCTGCCACCTCAAGTGGGTTGGAAGTGACTCCTTGGCAGGCCCGTGCCCCGTTCGAATGCCAATGTTGGAGCGTACTTCTAGTGTTGGTTTGGTGGGGGTGAAAGCCAGCACATGTGTCGCGCCTCTCCACAGCAGACTAGAGCAGTGCCCGCTGCATCCTCCTACCCTGTTATCAGGTTACACCGTGAACTAGGATCATGGCCGCTTGTGGGCAGCGTGGATGGCAGACAACGTAGACTTGCCCACTCCGCGGCGTTCACAGATCAGCCGCCTGCTGCTCACCGTCGCTTGTGAGGATCGGAAACCCCAAACTCCCCGCTGCTTAAGAAAAAAAAACACGCAAGAGGTGCTAAGCCGAGGGCTGGACCATGAAGCCGCGTGCAGCCGGTGGAGGAATTACAACGGCCCTCGTGAGCTGTCCTGCACGCTGAGCTGGGGGCGAGGCCGGAGTTCCCTACCCTGATAGAGCTTGTGTGAAGTGCTGTGTCCGGCTTCTCGGTTTGAAACCGTGACCCGGGGAGAGGTCAGGGTGCTGTAGGCCTCTGCCTGGTGTTTGGACAGGTGAGCCCCTACGCACAGTAAGTTTCCCCACCCGCCTTGCACCACCTTGGAGTCCCATTAGCGCTGTGCTTCGCTTGTGGAGGGGCAGTATGTACCTTTGGGCGTCAGGGCTCGGATGGATGTATATTCCAGGAAGCTGCGCAGAATCTTCAGCCAGAGGGCGGTGAATCTATGGAACTCGCTGCCACAGAAGGCTGTGGAGGCCAGGTCATTGAGTACACTTAAGACCGAGATAGATCGGGTCTTGATTATCAAGGGTTACGGGGCGAATGGAGTTGAGGAGCTTATCGGCCGTGATTGAATGACGGAGCAGACCGGATGGGCCGAGTAGCCTAATTTCTGCTCCTGTGTCTGATGGTCTAATCGGGCTGGGGTTACATTTCCAGGAGCAACGTGTTGACCGGGTGGCAGCGTTGTATGTTTGTGGGTGTGGGGGGTAAGGGTTCTTGTCTGCCTGTCTCCTTTGCTATGGTTTAATCAGTGCGCCGTACCCGTTGTAGGACGTTATGGTTGTGGGTGAGCCAGCACTAATGGGTGGGGAGCTCGGTGACCAAGATGAGCGGCTAATCACGCGGTTAGAGAACGGCCAGTATGACGCAGCCCACGCTCTCGACGACGACGACGACTTCCGTGACTTGCCCGCTGCGGTGACTGGCAGCCCCTGGAGCAGTAAAGCGCCGTCGAGCCAGGAGAGCAAGTCCGATTGAGCCCCGCGACTCGGTGGCCCCCGAGGAGGCTCTCAGTTTCAGCGTTGCAGGCACTGCGCCACCGCCTGGAGGTCTGAGCCCATCCTCCAGGCACTGGCATATTCTCCCAACCCCACCTCACCAACCCCCAGAAACTGTGAGCAGAATGCCCGTGTGCTTTGTGACCGGTGACCCAGGGCGCCAGGCGTTGCTAGATGCAGCTGCAGCCTGTCAAGGGGGAGGGAATGATCCTGCGCTGTCAGTCGCAGTGTGTCTGTGCTGTGCTGTGCAGGAGGGTCTCCTGACTTCACATTGCTGTCCACAGCCTCTTGAATGTGGTAAATGTCTGTGTGAGTCTGCACGTGCATGTCATGTGTGTGCAAGTGCGCGTGTGTGTATGTGTGTGTGCA